GGCTGGACTGTTTTGGGCCGGGGGGCTGGGGGGGGGCTCTGCAACTTACCTGGCTGCTTCTTGCTCTGACTAAGGGCTGCTGGGAGCGGGGGGCGGGGCTTGTTGAATGTGCCCGCCCCCTGGGCTCTTTACTGCTGGAGCTCCGCTCCTGTGCGCTCCTGCAGGAAATGACCCCTGGCCAGTCCGACTTGAGAAGGCAAGAACTGGGTGCCACGCTTCTTCGTGGTGGGTCTAGGGGCCACTGAGAAATAGCCTTCTGCCTTGGGAAGATCAGAATTAACGAGGCCTCTTCCAACACTATGTCCCCAATAAGCCACCTCCCCGCAGTCCAAACTGGCATTTGGGGGTGTGACGGACTCAAAGATCTGGGACCAGCAGAAAGTAAACACAGAACACTGCTGAGTCACATGATGGAGTGAGGAGGGGTCAGTGTCGCTCTGAACCAGGGCTCTTTTTGTAGCAGGTACTCATTTGCATATTAAGTGATCACCCCTAATGTAGCCAATCCTCCAAGAGCTTACAGTAGCTCCTGTAAGAAGAGCTCTGTAAGCTCTTGGAGGATTGGCTACATTAGGGGGTGTGGCCTAATATGCAAAGGAGTCCCTGCTACAAAAAGAGCCCTGCGGAACCCTCAGTGATTGGCACTTAACAGACCAAACAGTCAGTTTGGAGTTGGCAGTTGAGAAGCAGCAGTTGGTTGGCTGGAGAGAGAGAGCTGACAGACAGGCGGTCTGTCAGCGAACTGAAGGAGTCAGATCTCTGTAGCTCTGTGGAAACAGCCTGTTAACAGTCTGAGCAGAGAACTGTGGCTGAGTACCCATTGCCCTGAGTCCCTCTAAAGTGAAAGAGGAGAGTGGAGCCAGTGGGAACCATAGAACACAAACACCAGATACATTCTTCCAGAAGAAACTGGAGGTGGTTTAGAAAGGGCTAAAGAGCGGTCTGGCCGGAGTCTGGAAAGCTGGTCTGGTGACCAGGGAGACTCAGAGGGTGCATTCAGACGGGCCATTTAAGCCGGAGCAGTTTGATCCGGAAGAAACGCGATCACACTCACCTCCTGACTGCGCAGCACATCATGATATGCCCGTTCACACTACCGATGTACAGCAGCGCGCGCGTCAGCGGTTTTAATTTTTTTTTTTTTTACATTTTGCACTTAGATTTTACATAGATGCAACAAACATGAAGTTGAGCAAATTTCAGAGGACGGCGGAAGACCGGAAGGCCTGGCGGGATCTGGTCCATGGGGTCGCGAAGAGTCAGACTCGACTGTGCGACTGAACAACAAAATAGGCAGCCATCCACAGAGTTGAGATCTTCGCGCAGGCGCAGAACACCCCGTCCCGAAAAGCGTGCCCTGAAGCGAAGACTTCCCTTTAAACTTTTACTGCAAAAAGTTCCTCCGTGAGGTCCCGGACTCATCCGCAGCCTAAAACTAAGCATCTTTTTTTTTTACAAACACCGGGGCGAAGCTTCGCCCAAGCGCACATCGAGGAGGCTAAAAAAAAAATGGCGGCCAAAAAGCGGAAGCCTTGGGCTTCCAAACGGAAGTGGCTCTACACTGGCGGAGAGCGATCAGACGGGGATAATGCGGCTAGAACCAGAGCACTCAGGATACCACCACTTGGAGACTTAGTAACAGAATACACTTAGCAGCTCGAAAGCAAGACATTGGAAGTAGATAAATAGGTACTACTTCGGTGGGAAGCTCACAGCATTCTGTGCGCCTCGGTGCTTAGTCATCCCGCCTTATGACCACGGAAACGTCTTTGGACAGCGCTGGCTCTTCAGCTTTGAAACGGAGATGAGCACCGCAACCCTAGAGTCGGATTTGACTGGCTTTCAAGCAAGGGAAACCTTGGCCTTTACACCAGTTTAAAGGGTGTTTGCAACGGTTAGGGACGGAAGGCAGATGTTGGCTGTGTGATCGCGCGTATGTACTCCGATTCTAACCGGCTTGTATACCGGCTCAAATGCCCCGTCTGAACGCACCCAGAGAGACCTGTTAGTAAAAGCCAAAGGAAGACCACAAAGCAGTTGCTGGAGTGTGGGAGTATAAGCGTGTTTCGTGAACTGATGAACATCTATGTATGAACTGAAAGTAATAAGCATACAGCCTAAGTGAATGTAAAGGCAAGAACTAAAGTCTGGAAGGAAACAAAATATCCTTTGTACATATAGTCCATCCCCCTGTTGTGTTGTTTGTAAATAAAGCCTGTTCAGCTTTAAAGTTAAGAAGCCGTGGTGCCTATCTATTTAATGGTAAAGCAAATACACTAAGCAGTGGTTCTTACAAATATCCCTGACCAAGAAGAAATAAATTAAAATACCCCGAAGAGACTATTATAGATTCGTATAGAGGACTGGTCAGAAAAAAATTATCAGCAGCTCTGACCAGGCACAGCACATAGACCCTCACGGTACCGTCACTATAAAGGGGGCACGTGTCATAGGGGGCTTTGACTGGGAGCCCAGCCTTGCGGGAGGCATTCCAAAACAGTGCTCATGTTTCAAATGTTGTTTCCAGGTTGAACTCTAGATGGCGATGTTGTCCAAGGAGAAGCTGGTTGGCCAACCTCTGGAAGGTTGTGGGTGCATTCTGAAGTCCAAAAGGGCATGCATTCAACTCCAAAAGTCCCATGGGGTAATAAAAGCAGATTCAGTCCTGGCGTTGGCGTTCATAACTCTCACATCTTCTCCGCATTACTTTGTCCAGGAGTCCCCCTCCCCATCTGGTGATGTCATTAACCCTGGAAGAGCCCCCCGATGGGGGCTGGGGCTGGCTGATAGTCCTGTCTGGCTTCCTAGCGAATTCCCTCACCTACGGGGTCTTGCGGTCCCTCGGCATCCTCTTCGAAGACCTCGTGGAAGCCTTTGATGCGAGTGCTGCCCAGATCTCCTGGGTGACGGCCATTGCCTTGGCGACGGAGCAGTTTGCCAGTGAGTGTTGCAGTGGGGCTGTCATTTGTCCAGCTGCTTGAATCCAGTGGACCACCTCCGTGGAGGAGGGTGGTCTCACCTTTGGGTCTCCACTGCCGCTGCTGGTGCTTTCACCCCAGTTTCCCATTAAGGGGATTTCCAAAGCGTTGTGAAGATTTCCGGGCTGCCTAGCCTCCAAGGGACACAAGATGCAGAACGGGGGTGGCCAAACTTGCTTAGCGTAATAGCCACATAGAATAAATGTCAGGTGTTTGAGAGCCGCAGGACATGAACAAATATTATTAAGCCCCACCTACCTCACAGGGTGTCCTGTTGTGGGGAAGGGAAGGGAGTTTGTCAGCCGCTCTGAGACTCCCTTGGGTAGTGAAGGGCGGGGGATAAATCCAATCTCTTCTTCTTCTGTCCCATTCTGCCCCAGGTCCGATTGGCACGGCTGCCAGCAAGCGCTACGGATCCCGGCCGGTGGTGATGGCTGGCGGCTTCCTCTCCTCTCTGGGCATTCTCTGGGCCTCCTTTAGCACCAGCTTACTCCAGTTATACCTCACCTTGGGGTTTCTGACCGGTGAGTTCAAATACCAAAGCCAAATACCTTTTCGTGGTAAACCATTCCAAGGATATGTCAGGCCTATAACATACCTCAAGTTGTCACAAGATAGATTTGACCATACAAAAGATAACTGAGTCGTACAATAAACTGAAATCTAAACTTTTAAACTTAAGTTTTAAAAATTATAAATTAAGGATCATTAATATGCTCAGAATCATTAATATGTTCAGAGGCGGTTTTGCCCTTGCCTGACTCTGCGTCACAACCAGTGTTCCCTCTAAGCTGAGTTGCTGTGAGCTGGCTCACAGTTTTTTAGCCTCCGGCTCACACGTTTTTGTCTTCGCTCAGGAAGGATGGGGCTCCAGAGCAAACTAGCTTATGCAGGAGCCAAATTGCCTGCTCACCACTTTAATGCCAGTAGCTCACAAAGTAGAATTTTTGCTCACGAGACTCCACAGCTTGGAGGGAGCCTTGGTCACAACCCCTTGGTGGTCTCCCATCCAAGTACCAACCGGGGCTGACCTTCCTTTGCTTCGGAGATCGGACGAGACGCGGCTCGCCTGGGCCGTCCAGGTCCAGACTGATAGATGGGGTGTGCAAAGTGCCCTCAAGTTGCAACCCACATATGGTGACCCCCCCCACCCTAGGGTTTACAGGCCAGAGATGGTGCTTTGCCATGGCCTGCCTCTGCATAGCAACCCGGGAGTTCCTTGGTGGCCTCCCATCCAAATACTAACCAGGGCCGACCCTGCTTAGTTTCCAAGACCTGATGAGGTCAGGCTGGCCCAAGCCATCTGGGACAGGGGGCACGGACACAAAAGCTTCTGGGGCTTTTGCGCAACGTGAGGCCTTCCAGTCCAGTGTGCATTTCCCAGTGCTTCTGTGTTGTCTCAGGCGATGAATGTACCAACCCCTGGGGCCCCACAACCCAGACTGTTGCTGTTAAGTGCGCAAACTCTAATCTGGGAGAACCGGGTTTGATTCCCCGCTCCTCCACTTGCAGCTGCTGGTGTGACCTTGGGTCAGTTACAAGTTCTTTGAGAGCCGCTCTGGAAAGAGCCGCCCTGGAAAGAGCTCTCTCGGCCCCACCTATCTCACGGGCAGTGTTCCCTCTAAGCTGAGTTAGTGCGAGCCAGCTCAGAGTTTTTTAGCCTCCGGCTCACACATTTTGGTCTCGGCTCAGGGAGGATGGCTCCAGAGCAAACTAAATCTTGCAGTAGCCAAATCCCTCGCTCACAACTTTAATGCTAGTAGCTCACAGAGTAGAATTTTTGCTCACACGGCTCCGCAGCTTAGAGGGAGCGTTGCTCATGGGGTGTCTGTTGCTGGGAGAGGAAGGGAGAGGCGTTTGTATGCCGCTCTGAGACTCTGAGTGAAGGACGGGGTATAAATCCAATCTCCTCCTCCTCCTCCTCCTTCCTCCTCTGAGCGAGGCCCAAATGTCTGCAGCATTGTTCATGCCAGCAGGCCCTGGAGCGTCTTCGGTGCCCTTTTGCCTTTTGTGTTTCCTCCGCAGCCCAGCCTCAGTCTAGCTCTCCCCCCCCCTTCTTTCTCCTGGCAGGTTTCGGCTGGGCCTTGGCCTTTGCCCCGGTGATGGGCACCCTCTCCCGCTACTTCTCCTCCCGGCGCTCCGTGGCCATGGGCCTGGCTCTGATGGGCAACGGGCTCTCCTCCTTCGCCCTTTCACCGCTCCTGCGGCTCCTGGCCGAGTCCCTTGCCTGGCGGGGGGCCTTGCTGGTGACGTCCGCCTTGGTCCTCCACCTGGTGGTCTGCGGGGCCCTCCTCCGCCCCCTGGTCCTGCGGGGCGACCGGCTGGAGTCGGGGTCCTTGTTTGACTGGGCGCTGTTCACCCAGCGAGGGTTCGGGGCCTTCTCTTTCGGCACGGCCCTGCTGGCGGCCGGCTACTTTACCCCTTATGTGCACCTGGAGCCGTATGGGCGGGCCCTGGGCCTGGACCCCTACAAAGCAGCCACCCTGGTGTCCGTCCTGGTCCCAGGCAGGCAGGGGTGGGGAGAGGCGGGGAGGAAGCAACTTACCCTCCCTCTTCTCCTGCCTCCTCCTGGCTGAATGAGCGCTGGAAGCGGGGCGGCCGGAAGCAGGGGGTGGGGCTTCATCATGTGCCCCGCCCCCTGCACCTCACCCGGGGGAACTGCGTTCCCCCGCGTTCCCCCCCCGAAATGACCTCTGCCAGCAGGGCTTTTTTTTGTAGAAAAAGAACAGCAGGAACTCGTTAGCATAATAGGCCACACCCAACAGCAGAAACCTATTAGCATATTAGGCCACACCCCTGACAGCAGAGCTCATTAGCTTATTCGGCTGCATCCCTATGTTACTAGAAGTGTGGACATCCAGCCACACCAATCTTTTGCTTCTTATTCTGTTTACCTTGTTTGTTGTCCAAACCCAGGGCCTTTTTTTGTAGCAGGGACTCCTTTCATGTTAGGCTACACACACCTAATGTAGCTAATCCTAATGAGTTTCTGCCTATTGTGCTAATGAGTTCCTGCTAGGCGTAGCCAACTCAGGAGCCAGCCGGAACTCTGTTCCTGTGCGTTCGTGCCCAAAAATAGCCCTGACTATAACTACTGCCAGTGATGCTCCTTATACTAATGTACTAATTCTGTGATGCTCAGAGAATCATTGGCATGCACAGAATCGATGTGGCTTTCAGGGTTTCTCGGGTGCTTTCAAAAGCAAGCTAAAACCCACAGGGGCTAGTCTGCCGGAGCAGTGGTGAGAATGAGTCCTTAAATTCTTTCCCATTTGTGAAGGGTTTCTTGCTCCATGTTAAGCATAAATTTCCCTTTTTCACTGAGAAGCGAGTGCACTCGCATTCCAGGATTAGAGGGCTGAAAATGTAGCTCTGCTAAGTCATCCCAACTCTGTACATTCTGCATGCAAAGAGGAGAGCAGGACTGTGCGTACTGACCCTGACCCTGGACATACAACCATCTACAATGAGGCCTGTGCACAGAGGTCAATTCGGGGGGGATCGCGGGGGATCGCAGTTCCCCCGGGTGAGGTGCGGGGGATGGGGCACACGACGAAGCCCTGCCCCCCATTTCCGGCCCTCATTCATCCAGGAGGAGGCAGGAGAAGAGGGAGGGTAAGTTGCTTCCTCCCCGCCTCTCCCCACCCCTGCCTGCCTGGGGCCAGGGAGGGCCTTGGCGGGGCTTCCTCGCACTCCCGCTGGCCTTGCAGGTCCACCGCCGGGCCCCTGATGTCAGGGGGTGTGGCATATGCTAATGAGTTATGCTAATGAGTTCCCCTAGCTCTTTTTCTATGAAATGACCCCTGGTGGTGAGCCAGCGATCTGGCTGCGGCATGAATTAGTTTGCTCTGGAGCCACATCCTTCCTGAGCGCAGACAAAAACCTGTGAGCCGGAGGCTAAGAAACTGTGAGCTAGCTCACACCAACTCAGCTTAGAGGGAACACTGGACTGAGGGCATGTACTTATCCACCACAGGCCGTAGGCTGCACCACCGACCCAGAGCTCCTTACAAGACCTCGGCTTCTTTGCAAATTGGGGAAACGTTTGCTAAACCGGAGCTGCTGGATGAGTCGGCTCACCTCTAAGGTCTTGCAAGGGGCTTTCATCTAATGTGCAGAGTATGAGACGCCTGTTTACAGATGATCCAACTTCGATCTGTTGCCCCATAAGGGCTTGGCAACGCAAAAGAACCCAGCGTGTTTGCTTTTAATGAACGGTTTTATAATAGCATCTCAATGTGAGGACGATATTAAAGTATGAGATGTCCGTCGCCTATGTCAGGAACTGGGAAGAGTTTAAAGATGGGGGGGGGACATGAACAGTTGGCGTATGCTCAGGAGAGCTTCCTGCTGGACTGGGCCACGAATACCTCCAGGTCTTGGGTTTTATCAGAAGAGCCCTGCTGGATCAAGCCACACGAACACACACAAAGCTGCCTTGTACTGAATCAGAGCCTTGGTCTATCAAAGTCGGCATCGTTTGCTCTGACTGGCAGCCGCTCTCCAGGGTCTCAGGCAGAGGAAGGTCCTTCCCATCACCTCCTGCCTGGTCCTTTTAGCTGGAGATGCCGGGGACTGAACCTGGGACCTTCTGCATGCAGAGCAGGGGCTCCGCCACTGAGCCACGGCCCCTCTTTACAGCTCTCCAGGGTCTTAGGCCGAGGTCTTTCCCATAACCTCCTGCCTGGTCCTTTTAACTGGAGATGCCGGGGACTGAACCTGGGACCTTCTGCACACCAAACAGATGCTCTACCACTGAGCCGCAGCCCCTCTTTACAGCTCTCCAGGGTCTCAGGCCGAGGTCTTTCCCATCACTTCCTGCCTGGTCCTTAGATGCCGGGGACTGAACCTGGGACCTTCTGCATGCAGAGCTTTGTCTCCGCCACTGAGCCCCCATGGCCCCTCCATGGTCCAGGCACATTCATCAAGTTCAGCGTCACATTCCTCATAATGGCCATCCAGAGAACAGCGGACAGCCCCTTTCAAGGTTGGCTGTCAGGCAACAGCTCTCCCCTATTTTCTATCCCCAGCAATATAGTAGTCAGAGCGAGGTACACTGCCTCTGAACACGGAGGTTCCATTTACCTGTCGTGGCTGTTGATAGGCGTTTCCTCTTCCCTGAAGTTGTCTCAATCCCCTTTTAAAGCCAGGGCTATTTTGGGGCAGGAATTAATCCCCTTTTAAAGCTAACCCTAACCCCTGGTACTGGCTGCTCAGGCCTCTAATGCTAACGTCTTCCTCTCCTCCCTGCGATTCCTCTCTAGGCTTCCTGCGAGATGTAACAGGCAACTTCACGGTCTCATTCCTGGCGGGCGGGACCTTTGTCCTCTCCGCCAGCCTCATCTTCCTGGCCCTTCCATCATTTTTTGCTGGCTGCAGGGCCTGTGGTGGCGAAGTTGCGACCCCCAGGGCCCGAGGAGAACCCAACGTCCTGCTGGCGCCTCCTTCGGCGTCCGTTCCTCCCACCACCAGCAAAAGTTCCGAGATATGAAAACGTCCTGCGCCCGCCCCAGGATGCGATGGCAATGACGGGTTCTCTTGTGCCAACACAAGTCTGCGGTGGCAACTAGACTTCTCCGGCCAAGCCCAGGACTTTTACATGACAACTTTCTATCAGTTAGGCTGTGGCTTCTCTGAAGGAATCCTAAGAACTGCACTGGGGCCACAGCTGAGAAGGCTCGGTTTAAAGACTCCCCCCACTCCCTCGCAGAACTACATTTCCCAGGGTTCCTTGGGAAGAAGGCCTGGCCAATCCAGTTAAGTTTGTTAAGCAAGTGTGCCCTATTGTGTGAATTCCCAGATCTGACCTCTTTCACAAAGTGAGGAAGGATGAGCCAGGAAGCCCCGTGTTCGAATCTCATTTCCATGATTATGGAGTCCAGTTAGCCTAGGGCTGCCAGCTTCCAGGCTGGGAAATTCCTGGAGACTTGGAGGCACACTTAGGATAGAGGCATATTTCCTAGGGTCCCATCAGAACCCTTGCGGCAAACATAACAACCTATCTAGGAGAGCATGTCTCTCAAATTCTGCAGAATTTGAGAGACAAGCTCTCCTAGAAAGGTTATTATGACTGTTGGTCTATCAAGGTCAGCATTGTCTACTCAGACAGGCCGTGGCTTTCCAGGGTATCAGTTAGAGATCTTCACATCACCTACAACCTGGTCCTTTTTAACTGCTGGAGATGCTGGGAACTGAACCTGGGACCTTCTGCATGCCATGCAGATGCTCTTCCACTGAGCCACAGCCCCTCTTTACAGCTCTCCAGGGTCTCAGGCGGAGGTCTTTCCCATCACCTGCTGCCTGGTCCTTTTCACTGGAGATGCCGGGGATTGAACCTGGGACCTTCTGCATGCCAAGCAGATGCTCTACCACTGAGCCACGGCCCCTCCCTTGAAGTTACCTTCTAGCTTCAAGACCCTTGGTCCATCAAGGTCAGTATCGTCTACTCAGACTGTCAGTTGCTCTCAGGCCGAGGTCTTTCCCATCACCTCCTGCCTGGTCCTTTTTAACTGGAGATGCCTGGGATCGAACCTGGGACCTCTGGCATGCAAAGCAGAGGCTCTGCCCCTGAGCCAGGGCCAGGGCCCCTCCTACGGCTGTTGCATCGCCTTCCTCCCCCTGCCTCAGTGTTTGAATATATGACTTGTAAAAATGGAAGTGAGCCTCTGCTTTGGAGGCCTGGCCTCATCCATCAAGGTCAGTATCGTCTACTCAGACTGTCAGTTGCTCTCAGGCAGAGTTCTTTCACATCACCTCTTGCCTGGTCCTCTCAACTGGAGATGCCGGGGATCGAACCTGGGACCTCTGGCATGCAAAGCAGAGGCTCTGCTCCTGAGCCAGGGCCCCTCCTACGGCTGTTGGATCTCCTTCCTCCCCCTGCCTCAGTGTATGAATATATTGTAAAAATGGAAGGGAGCCTCTGCTTTGGAGGCCTGGCCTCATGTCAGAAGCGAAGCCTCAGCTCCCCTCAGTCCGGAAGCCTCCGTCTTCGGTGGGGCAGGGGTCGTGCTCCTCTTTGCCGTCTTCGGGGTCTTGGGGGGATGCTGCGGGGAGGCAGCGGAGGTGGTTGGGCAGGGCCACAAGCACCAAGGCACCCACAATGAGGATGGAGCCAGCCGCCTGGAACGAAGCCACGTAGCTGCCGGTCGCGTCCCGGATCCAGCCTGCAAGAGAGGAGAAGGCGAGACAAACCGTGGAGGTGAGCAAGCCCCCCATCCCCACAGCGGACCCAGGTTAGAGGGGGGCTGAATAGGAAAGACGGAAGCCCTTCCCCCTTTCCTGGCTGTAAAATGATGACACAGCCCACCATTCGACTCTTGGGCTTCTGACACTAGTGTCTTTAGGCATGCGCAGAGTGTGTGCCTCTTGGCATTTTTGAAAGGCCCCCTCCCCTCAGTTCCCCACCGGGTCTATGGAACACGGCCCCAGGGCCACAGTGCACTGTGAAGTTTGTTCTTCCCTTTTTAGGCACTGGGGGGGGGGGAAGGAGGAAGAAGAGATTGGATTTATACCCCGCTCTTCACTCAGAGTCTCAGAGTGGCTGACAAACTCCTTTCCCTTCCCCTCCTCACAACAGACACCCTGTGCGGTAAATGGGGCTGAGAGAGCTCCCTTGAGAACTGCTTTTTCAAGAGCAGCTTGGACTGAACTATGGCTTGCCCAAGGTCACCCAGCAGCTGCACGTGGAGGAGTGGGGAATCAGACACGGTTCTTCCAGATTAGAGTCTGTGCACTTCACCACGACACCGAACTGGCTTTGGAGTTGGGGAGAGGTAGCTGTGAGTTGCCTCCGTTGTGCAGGGGGCTGGACTAGATGGCCCTCGGGGTCCCTTCCAGCTTATGTTTCTATGTATACATCAGATCAAGTAAGCCGAATCAGCTCCGTTTATGACTGTGCTCAGCGCCTACCTGATAGGCCAGTGTAGGTCTTTGCATCCCCAAGTGTTTGCCCTACTGTTGTAAATTATTTCTATTAGAATTTATCTATACCACAGACAATGTTCCCTCTAAGCTGTGGAGCCTTGTGAGCAAGAATCCAACTTTGTGAGCTCCTGGCATTAAAGTTGTGAGTGAGCGATTTGGCTACTGCGTAAATCGGTTTGCTCTGGAGCCCTCCTTCTGGAGCTAAGACAAAAATCTGTGAGCCGGAGACTTAAAAACTGGGAGCTAACTCAGCTTAGAGGGAACACTGACCACACGGTAACCTGTGTTTTGTGGCAGTGAGGCGTTCCAGGTGCAAACCTCATTTAATGGCGGCTCCGGGGCCTGAACTGGGCAACCTCTGGTGTCAGGCCGCTGGGACTTGTAGCGGGAGATTGTCTACCATAACTGGGCATGCGGCAGCCCTCTTAGAACAGCCTAGTGCGGTGGGTGGGGCTATGAGCCCACTTCAAGGAACAGCAGTCTTTGAAAGGGGCTGGCTGCTGAGTCACGCAAGCCCCAGCCAGCTTCCTGCTTAGAGTCGCCAACCTCCAGGTGGCAAACAATGATGAAAACAACCACGATGTAGTATTATGAAAATATCAACAAAATGAGAACTTGTAAACAAAATCTTGGAGGCTGCGGAATTGGACAAATTGACTTTATTGATAAAAGGCGCAACAGATTCGACATTTGAGAATACTTGGTCACGCTTTTATAACTGGTATGACAAACATATGTAGGCTTGCAAGAGACAGACCAATAGTTTACTAAATGAAATATATACCTGTTAGGATGATAGCGACAGAAAACTTGCTTACACAGTTCATGAGAAATTGTTATTAAGGCGGAATAGGTATTAGTATAAATATTGGTAGAATTAAGAATAACCTCCATGTATTTGTTTGTATGTTAGTATGTATGTATATATGTATGTATATGTTATGATTGTTTGTGTATGTTATGTGGAAAATGTAATAAAATCCTGCCCCTTTGGGGGGCAGTTAAAAAAAATAAATCTTTAGACTGCTGTTTTGCAGTGAGTAGTGTTTCTTCAGCAAGTAATAAAGATGGACGCATGCACACACTACGGAAACTGCATAGACTCCCGTTGCACATAACAGCTTTTCCACAATGCGCCTGCGTAAATAACATTCATTTACACATCACGTCAACAATTCTAATCTGTGAATTAACACTCAAACATTCCTCTCGTATGAGCACGGAAAGAATTTGTTTCATTGGAGTGGGAAGACTGTTTGCGTGTTAATTCACAGATTAGAACCGTTGACGTGTAAATGAATGTTACTTACGCAGCGCATTGTGAAAAAGCTGTTATGTGAAACGGGAGTCTATGCAGTTTCTGTAGTGTGTGCATGCGTCCGATCTTTATTACTTGCTGAAGAAACACTACTCACTGCAAAACAGCAGTCTAAAGATTTATTTATTTTTAACTGCCCCCCAAAGGGGCAGGATTTTATTACATTTTCCACATAACATACACAAACAATCATAACATATTGGCTCACACATTTTTGTCTTGGCGCAGGAAGGATGGCTCCAGAGCAGACTAATCTATGCAGTAGCCAAATCGCTCACTCCCAACTTAAATGCCAGTAGCTCACAAAGTAGAATTTTTGTTCACAAGACTCCACAGCTTAGAAGGAACATTGATCACGGTTGTTTTCATCATTGTTTGCATCCTTCCCGTGATCTCTCCGTTGTTTCTACATACAACCTCCAGGTGGCGGCTGGAGATCTACCACTATTACAACGGATTCCCCCCGGGCAACAGAGATCCGTTCCCCTGGAGAAAACGGCCACTTCGCAAGCTGTTGAAGTCCCTGCCCTCCCCAAACCCCGCCCTCCTCCCGCTCCACCCTCCAAATCTCCAAGTATTTCCCAACCGGGAGCTGGAGACCCTAACCTTGCTCTTTCCTGGGCTCCAGAGCCAGATCTCCCTCTTTCTGCATGTCAGGATTCTGCAAAATCCTCTGGGTTTTTTGCAGAGGCTCCCAACAAATCCTGTGTTGGAACACAATCCACCATTGGTCTGGATCCAGGTTCCACCGTGTTCCTGAGGCACATGAAGTCAGACCCTTGGTCCATCACATCCACGACAGTTTTGTCTATTCAGACTGGCAGAAACTCTCCCGGGTGTCAGGCAGAGAGAGGTCTTTCGCATCACCTCCTGCCTAGTCCTTTTAACCAGGCCTGTAGCTATGGTGAGGCCTTTGGGGGGCTCTGCCCCCTTTCTTAAAGACACAGCCCCACAAGAATTTCTCCTGCAAATGCTTTTTTCAATCTTATTAAAACATTTTTTTAAAGGCATACACTCCTTTAAGCAGAGTGGGTGCTGTAGTTCCCACACTGAGCCAAGGGGGTTGGAGTGGGTGACCTCTAGGATACCTTCGAACTCTGTGTCAAGAAACTGGTCTCCTTTAAGATAGTTTTTCTGCCTAAGTGTTAGCTTTCTTGACTACAGAAGTCATCAACCCCACCCACCACCCACCCCACCTGCTTGTTATCAGAATGGTTGCTTAGGCTGGCAGAAGTGATTAAGTTGCAGCAGCTGAGAACTATAATCTAAAACAGCTTTCTAGTGGCTAAATGGCTTTTCTTTCTGTGCTGAGATCTTCAGCCCCACCAGACAAAAATCTGCCCCACAAGCCACAAAATCCTGGCTACAGGCCTGCTTTTAACTGGACATGCCGGGGATTGAACCTGGGACCTTCTGCATGCTGAGCAGAGGCTCCACTGCTGAGCCATGGCCCCTCCGTCTGCCCTCTCCTGTGCCATCCCCTTGGTCTGTCAAGGCCGATACTGGCAGCTGCTCTCCAGGGTGTCAGGCAGAGATCTTTTCCAGGAGCTACTGTCTGGTCCTTTTAACTGGAGATGCCGGGGATTGAACCTGGGACCTTCTGCATGTCAAGCAGAGGCTCTTCCACTGAGCCACAGCCCCTCCCCCGTTCCATGGGAGGCTATTCTGTGGGTGCCATTGCGCTAGCCGCCTTGGTAGGCCTGCCCGGAACGCCTTCCCTAGATGCTGCATCATTTCGCTTCCTTACCTGACAACGGAGGCCCGGCCAAAGCTCCAAAGCTTTCCATCAGGTGAATGAGCCCAATGGCTCCCATTATTTGGTCTGGGCCCACGATTTCCACCAGGGTGGAGAACTTCAGCGGGATGATAGCGCTCGCCAGGAACCCGTAGCCGATGCTGACGGCCACCATCGAGGTGTAATTGCGTCCCAGGGGCACCAGGAGGAGGGTGACGCCCGTCAGGAGGGTCCAGAGGGTGAGGTGGTGGACGAGACGAAGAGGACCGCAGTCGGCCAGCCAGCCGGCTACGATGCGCCCAGCTATATCGGCGATGCCCACCACGGAGACCAGGAAGGCCGCTTGGTATTCGTCGAAGCCCGTCTCCCTGGCGTGGGGCACCAGGTGAATGAAAGGCATGAAGTAACCCGCTGTGATCAGAACTCCGGACCCGCAGAAGGTCATGAAAGCTCGGTGGCGGAGCAGACGCAGCCCGAAGAGAGATGCCAACCTGCCCCACCGGCTCTCCTGTCCGGGAGCCCCCGAAGCATCGTTTGGGGCCAAGGGCAGCGGTCGAAGGAGGGCGCCGCACACCACCAGGTGGAAGGCCATGCCGGACACAATCAGGAGAGCCCCGCGCCAGCCGTAGGAATCCACCAGGAACTGGAAGAGGGGGGAGAAGGCCAAGGCGGAAATGCCAGTGCCGGAGAACACCAAGGCGTTGGCCAGGGCGCGCCGCCGCTTGAAGTACCGAGCTACCAGGGCCAAGGAAGGGGAGAAGATGAGGGCACCACCAACACCTGGGCGACGCAGAAGAAAAATGGGAGTTAAAATGTACTTTGGAATCCTCCAAGCAACTATGAGCTGTCACAGTTTTGCAGAACAAAGTTGGAGTCCCGTGGCACCTTTAAGACCCACAAAGTTTTATTCTGGGGATAAGCTTTTATGCACGTGCACACAATGCATGCGCACAAAAGCTCATGCCCAGAATAAAACTTTGTGGGTCTTAAAGGTGCCACGGGACTCCAACTTTGTCCTGCCGCTTCAGACCAACAGGGCTACACACCTGAATCTATCTTCAGCCAGTTTGATATAGTGCTTAAGAGCGGCAGACTCTAATCTGGGAGAACCAAGTTTGAGTTCCCCACTCTTCTTCCACGTGCAGCCAGCTGGATGACCTTGGGCCAGTCACAGTTCTCTCAGAGCTGTTCTCTCAAGGACAGTCCTCGAAAGAGCTCTCTTAGCCCCACCTACCTAACAGGGTGTCTGTTGTGGGGAGAGGAAGGGAAGGCGTTTGTAAGCTGCTGTGAGACTCCAGGTAGTGAAAACCAGGGTATAAAAACCACCTCTTTTTCTTCTTCATGGTAGGCACCACAATTTTCCAGTTATAGTCTTTACTAGCAAGGGAAATTTCGTAGAAAAAGAGGTGCAGGGGCTCATTAGCATAACTCATTAGCATAGCTTATTTGCATATGCCACACCCCCTGACATCACCAGAAGTGTGTCAGAAGGCAACACCCACCACTCAGGCTCCACTGGACTGTTTTGGATTGCTAGCTATTGGGGGGGGGGGATGTGCAGATCTGTCCTCACAGAGGAGAGAGAACTTGTACCTGAATAAAACTTGGTCTTAAAGGTGCCACTGGACTGTTTTGGACCGGGGGGCTCTGCAACTTACCTGGCTGCTTCTTGCTCTGACTGAGGGCTGCTGGGAGCAGGGGGTGGGGCTTGTTACATGTGCCGGCCCCCCTGGGCTCTTTGCTGCCGGAGCTCCGCTCCTGTGCGCTTCTGCAGGAAATGACCCCTGGTCTTTAGGTACGTGACTGGTGGGGTTGGGGGAGAGGAAGGACCTCAGCAAGGTGTATTGCTATAGAGTCCAGCCTCCAAAGCACCCATTTTCGCCAGGGAAGCAGATCTCCTGCCCCCACCTGGAGATTGGCAATCCTAGCGGGTGGTGAATTTCTTTCTGCCCACTGCGCCCAGGGCAGATTTGAGCCATTTTGCCAGTCCAACAAGGAACACCCATCCTGTTCTGGGCCTGAGCTGCTGCCGGCCTGGGCCAGGCCAAGGCACCATTGCTCCAGGGCAGGCCCAGAGCGGGAGGCCGGTCGCCTTCCATGCTGCTGGTTGGCTCACAGCGAGGGCACCAAGCTCCTCCTCCTGTTGCCCTGAGCAACCACTTGGGTGGCTTGTCCAGAAAACTGTCCCTCATTCCACCGTGGCTTAGAAAGTCAGAGACCCTCCGGGGCAACTAGGGGGTGGCTTTGTGGAAACAGGACTTGGCTTACCTGTGAGGAGGCCAATGAAGAGGTAGAGCTGAGCCAGGCTGGTGGCGAAGGAGGCCAAGAAGAGCCCCAGACCCGACAGGAACCCACCGACGATGCCCACGGGCCGCTCACCATACTGCGTGCCGAGGGCACTGGCCAAGGGACCTGTTGGGGGCGCCAAAGAGGGGCTGATTAAAACCCCCTTGGATGGACCCAGGCTGGGGAGGGAGGAGAACTAGGAGAGGAGGAGAAACCCTAGAACAGGGGTCTCCAACGTGGTGCCCTTGGGTGCCTGCCAGGGGTTTTGAGGAAGTGGGTGGGACCAGGTGTGGCTTTTGCCATGCAAGGGTTCTGATTGGCCGTTGGACATTTGATTGGCAGGGCAGATTTTTTTTTAAAAAAAATGTTGCTTTGGCAGCAGCTGCCACCACGGCCCACGGATCTCTTCACTGACTGACTGTGGCAGCCATTTTGTGGCTGTGCCCACCACACTGTCGGTATTCCAAAGGTATCCACAGGCTAAAAAGGGCTGGGGACCCCTGTCCTAGAAAGACCTCCCCACCCCCACCCCCACCAAAATGCATCTCAATCACAGCAAAAAACGGCTTGGGAGGCAAAGAAAGTGGAAACATTTCAGAATGTTCCTTGTCATCCAATACAGTCAGATTCAGAGCAGCGTTCCCTCTAAGCTGAGTGAGTGTGAGCTAGCTCACAGTTTTTTAGCCTCCGGCTCACACGCTTTTGTCTCAGCTCAGGAAGGAGGGCTCCAGAGCAAACTAATCTATGCAGTATAGCCAAATCGCTCGCTCACAACTTTAATGCCGGTAGCTCACAAAGTAGAATTCTTGCTCACACGGCTCCACAGCTTAGGGGGAGCATTGGTTCCTAGGTGTTTTAGGAAGAATGGGTTGCTAAACGTTGAATTTGGCTATTAAGTTGAATGGTCAGGAGGATAGTCGAAGGGAAAGAAGAGGGCAGGGGTCGATTCCCCCTTTGAGACCTGTACAGAAGAGAAGGTTATACAAGACCCACCCCCCAGAAGATATTGGGATGCACAGTAATGCTACTGAGTATACTATCTAAAGATTTTGAAAAAAGCAACAGATACTTAATTATCTACTTTACTACAGTGGCAAGAATGCTATATGCCAAATACTGGAAGGTACAAGATGTACCAAAAAAGCAGGAATATATACAAAAACTGATGGAAACAGCGGGGAAGTGATAAACTGACATTGTTGATGAGAGGATCCACAAACTCTACATTCCAGAACACATGGAGGCGTTTCTCTTCACACAACCATTTTTATAGTGTGAGACCACGTATTAACTTCACCCAGTTTGCCTACATGAAGTTACCTTACACCAGGGCTTTTTTTGTAGAAAAAGCCTAGCAGGAACTCATTAGCATAATAGGCCACACCCAACAGCAGGAACTCATTAGCATATTAGGCCACAACCCTGACAACAAAGGTCATTAGCCTATTAGGCCACACCCCATGTTACCAGAAGTGTGCTCATCCAGCCATACCCACCTTTTGCTTCTTATTCTGTTTACCTTGTTTGTTGTCAAAACCCAGGGCCTTTTTTTGTAGCAGGAACTCCTTTGCATGTTAGGCCACACACCCCTAATGTAGCCAATCCTAATGAGTTTCTGCTGTTAGGTGTGGCCTATTATGCTAATGAGTTCCTGCTGGGCGTGGCCAACTCAGGAGCCAGCCAAAACTCTGTTCCTGTGTGTTCCTGCCCAAAAATAGCCCTGGTTTTAAGATACAAAAATGTGAGCTCATAGAAAATAATGATATGTGATATTGTACTAGACAGAGAATATCTAAGAGGCAATTATTGGAAACATAAGCATTTGATAACCGCGTTTGTGTTATATGTGTGTACGTTCGGTTTGTTATGAAAAAACAAATAAAATTCTACCCTTTGAGGGCAGATTTTTATTAAAAAAACACACACACACACCCAGTCTGATTGCTGCTGTTGAGTCTCCCCCCCGAGCTCATTGCTGGAAAATAGGGTTGCCAACCTCCAGGTGGTGGCTGGAGATCTCCTGCTACTGTAACTCAGGCGACAGAGATCAGTCCACCTGGAGAAAATGGCTGCTTTGAAAGATAGACTCTAGGGCACTGTACCCCAGGGAAATCCTTCCCCTCCCTAGGCGCCACCCCCAAAATCTTCAGGTATTTTCCCACCTGGAGCTGGCAACCCTACTGGAACATGCAAAACAAGAATAAAGAGAGTATGTTTAAGCATGTGCAGAGTGCATCTCAGCCGCCAGCTTAGTTATTCGTCCAGCGGCATTCATTTCAGAATTTAGGAGTTTGGATTCGTGCACCAAAAGGCCGTTGGATACTCACTGGTGAACATCAAGACGGCCACCGTGACAGAGGAGATCCAGGAGACGGCAGTAGAGGGCTCCCCGAAATGAACCACAAATTCCACAAAGAAGACGCCGAAAGATCGGACCACCCCGAAGACCAGGGCCGTCTGCAGGAAAGCTGCCAAGGCGATCATCCAGCCCCAGCCTCCATCAGGAGGGTCAGAGGAGGCCACGTGGGGGTTCATGTTTTTTTCAGTGAAAGACCACCAACCGTCCTGCGGGACTGTTCACACATCTGCTGCGCTCTGCCCCAGACATAGCTGCCTTCTCATTGTCGTGCGCGAGAGATGTCGGCCTCGGGAGCGGCTGCAGAAACGACAAGAAATCCACCAACACCCGGAACTTCCCCTGGCTTTGAAGCCGGACCCCTTTTCCGACTGTATTCCCCTCCCTAGAGAGGCAAAAAGAGGAGCAGGCACCGGTACAGGGGTTTGCCGGCCCACGTCTCAAGGCCTCTTATCATGAAGTCTTGGCGCAAAGTCTACAGGTGTGTCACGTTTTGACAGCAGAACTGCCAACGTCGCTCCTCTCCTGAACCCAGGAATCCACTCCGAGTCAGAACACGACTCCGCCCAGCTCACCACGGCCTACTTTCTAGGCTTCCCAACTCTGGGTTGGGAAATTCCTGGAGATTCGGGGGTGGAGCCTGAGGAGGCCAGGTATTTGGGACCTCAGCCGGATATAATGCCATAGAGTCTGCCCTCCAAAACTGCCTTTTTCTCTGGGGGAACTGGAGAGCTGTTGTAATTCCAGGAGATCTCCAGGCCTGGAGGTTGGCAGCTCTAGCTCTAACTGGCCATGGCTCCCCGGCATCTTAAGCCAAAGCCTTGCCTGCTCCTCTCCGCAACAGCGCCGTTGGTGCAGAAAGGGAAGATGAAGGTGAAAATAAGGAATCAGGACATCTTCAGCTGGTGTTGTGAAGCACATCATTGGGAATGAGCCTCTCTTGTGGTGCATGAAGAATGGCCTTGTCGATCAGCAGCCCTCCTGGGCTTGGGAGGGGCCCTGGCAGACCCGTAGCTACAGTGGGGCATTTGGGGGCTCTGCCCCCTTGATTAAAAACCCCACCCCCCACAAATAGCCTTGAGAGGGAGGGCTAGAAACAGGCGTGGGGCCTCCCCCTTTAAAAGCAGACATTCAGATTCACTGAATGAACTGCATTTTAACTGCCCCCTTAAAAATTCAGGGGCCCCCCCCTAAACAAAAAAACCTGGCTACGGGCCTGTGCTGTGGCCTGGTTCGAAAAATGTGAGGGTCCTTCTGTTCCCAGCTGCTTCCCCCTGCCTTTCATACAGCGTTTATTTTTAACTCTTGAGTACTGTCATTGAAAAAAGTGTGTCATTCAAGTGTATTGTGAAGGAGTCAGGGGTCATTTCCTGCAGGAGCACACAGGAGCGGAGCTCCGGCAGTAAAGAGCCCAGGGGGCGGGCACATGCAACAAGCCCCGCCCCCTGCTCCCAGCAGCCCTCAGCCAGAGCAAGAAGCAGCCAGGTAAATTGCAGAGCCCCCCCCCCCCGGGCCCCTGGTCCAAGACAGTCCAGTGGCACCTTTAAGACCAAGTTTTATTCTGGTACAAGCTCTCCCTCCTCTGCAAGGACAAATCTGCACGTTCCCCCCCCCCAATAGCTAGCAATCCAAAACAGTCCAGTGGAGCCTGAGTGGTGGGTGTTGCCTCCTGACACACTTTTGGCGATGTCAGGGGCAGTGTTCCCTCTAAGCTGAGTTAGTGTGAGCCAGCTCACAGTTTTTTAGCCTCTGGCTCACACATTTTTGCCTTCGCTCAGGAAGGAGAGCTCCAGAACAAACTAATGGATGCAGTAGCCAAATCACTCACTCACAACTTTAATGCCAGTAGCTCACAAAGTAGAATTTTTGCTCACAAAACTCCACAGCTTAGAGGGAACATGGGTCAGGGGGTGTGGCATATACAAA